CCCGCCTCTTCCCCGCTGCTCGGTGACCGGTCAGTGCCCGGGGCACGGGGAGAAACCAGGCAGCCTGGGGCCGAAACACCCCAACCCGTCCTTTGCTATCTGTAAACCCCCAATATTTATTGTATTCACCCGCGAAAATGTCGTCTTTTGCGAAAGGTAAGCTGACGTACTTTCTAATTATGATTATTTTTGACTCTTCAGCTGCGTGCACATCGATCTCCGCTTTATTATCCCCCTTCCCCCCAGTCTCCTTCCCAGACAGCGGTAGGTGTTGACCGACAGCCCACAGTTGCGATCTGCAAAGGTTTTTTTTCCCCTCAAAGTGTTGCTCGTTATTTGGCCTCCGCCGGTTCATCTCCCCTCGCTTGACTTGCCTCGGTGGAACCGTGGCTCTCCCGGGTGATACGGGCGCACGGTGAAACCGATTCTACCCACGGCCGGTGCTCAGGCGAGATCTGGAGTATAACAGGGAGGGTTTCGCAAGTAGAAATCTCCCCCCCTGCACTTAGAAGACTGTTAAAATTGGAGGAGAACGAGCGCCGAGGTTGAAATCTACACTTTTTTTTTTATTTTCAGAGCCTTGAGTGTATTTTGGCGTTTTCTGATCCCAAAAGGCTCCGGCGCTCTCCTTGACTCTCGGCGTGTGTGTACGTGGTCAGAGTTTCAGATTCCTTGATTGTGAAATGGGGAACCAGCCCACCAGAGGTCATTTCGAAAAGAAAAATGACTTTGGTGCATTGCTGTGGCAATTTTCTTTTCCCTTTTTTTTTTTTTTTTTAATATTCCTAACGGTGTGTGTGTGCTTTTTTTTGTAATTAAATTGCTGCCTGTAGGTTTCCTTAATATAAATCCACGCAGGCCTATCAACAAATTAATGCTGCCTGTAGAAAGAACACGAGTAAGTCTTTTGCTGTATGAACTTGGATGTTGCAGGTGACCAAGGGCCTTCCAGGCTTTGGGAAATTGCTGTCGCTTACCCCGTGGATATCTCGGACTGTACAACGTTTGCTGTGTAAATGCATCAACTGTCTGCAAATGTCTTGTGGCACCTGGGCAATATACAGAGAGCCCAGTCCGGGTGGGGGGGAAGCATTAAAACCACATTGCTCTGACAGTTATCACGCTCAGCCCCTTCTTGCTGTGAAATACATTATGAAAATATATTCTGAATTGTTTTTGTTTGTTTGTTTTTTTTTAAATGAAATTGGCTTGTTTCAGCCCACTGCTAAAGGTGGCCATCTTGCAGGCAAGGGATTATTATTTCTGACACTGAAAGCTGGAGAAACCTATGTAAAGATCATAAGCAGTTTTTAAAATATTTGACAATCCTAAAAGCTTTTAGAAAATGTATCTGCCGTTTAACTACCCTTTTGTCAGGCCAATAGCACAAAAACACGTTGCTAATGTCAAGTGATATTTTTAGCATGAGGATCAGCTGCTAAACTGAGAGATCCAGCTGTGTCTGACCCTAACACCTAAACTCTTGGGGTGTGCAGCTGGCAAGAACGGCTGCCCAGGTTGCAAACTTCTAAGGTAGCTCAAGTTAACGTGCTTATCCGTTAAGGAGAGAGTGAGTGAGCATGAAGGTTTCACTTCACGTATGCTTCAGTCCAACGTGTGTTGACAAATTTTACCTCTAGTAGTAGGAAAAGAAAAATGTTTGTAAAGGCTCAGTGGTTATGTTCAGTTCTAAAAAAAATCGAACAAAGTAATATTTATGAGCATTGTGCATTGTAGTGTGGGTGTTTAAACAGATTTTTTACCCTTGTCAGGGATAAAAATTACCTGGAACTTTCAGCAGTTTTGGAAGTTACGGCGTTCGCTCTGTCTCCTCAGTACAGAGTTCAAGGATGAAGTGTTTTAAAGTTCATGATGTTTTAACTTACTGTGTGTTTTAACTTACTGGCCACCCTTCTTGATTTTTATGGAAGGACTCTGGCTTCAAGGAGAGCTAACTCATTTTCTGCTGTAGGTTTTTCCGCAGACTTACATGGATTGCAAAAGTAATTTTACAAATTCATAACCCTCAGCCCAAAAGATCCCAAATTTTTTTCACGAGAGAGGGGACTTCTTGCTTGACTTGTCCCACGACTCCCTCCTGTGCTGGGTCCTTGTATCCCGAGTGCCAAGGCAGTGAAGTTCTCTTCCGAGTGAATTAATGAACAAAACTAATGAATATTAATGCACTCTCTGCTGCTTTTAATGTAGAATAAGAGGAGGGATGGTGGAAAGGAAATACATGCAAACCCTAAGTAAGGGATCACTGCTGTTCTGCAGTTTTCCTGAGGACATCTGCCCCTTCCTTTGTTTCTGATAGTGTACAAAGACCTCCTTTTTATTAGGCTTGATCTGATTGATCATATTTTGTGTTTTCATATGTCAGTTATAAAGTTATGTATCCTCAACCTGCCTGTATGTGCTGTAGTTGGTGCTGTGAGGACAGGGGCGGGTTTAAAAGTGAAGAGCAGAGCACGAAAGGCCTGCTGGAAATCACAGTGGGAGCAGGAGGGCTTGAGGGGAATCTCCACATGTCGGACACCACCACCAGCTTGGTTGAACTGTCCTTCCTCTACTGCTTTCTACAGAAGACATTAAAAATAGATATCCTGGGTCATTTTTGCAAAGCCCAGTGTTTTCTGAAGTCAACTATTTAGTCATGCTTTTCTGCTCTGTACTAATTTCCTGCGTGGGCTGGTTCCCCAAGAGTCTTCCACTACCTTATCCCACCCTTTTCTTCCTTCAGCTGAGTGTTCAAGCCCATAAAATGGGTTTAGGCTGCAATCTGAGGCGTTGCTTGCGAAATAGCTTTGGAAGAAGACATTTCTTTTTAAAACTAATTTGGGAGTTTATGGCTGCATGTACCCTTGGAAATCTCTTCCTGCAATTACCCAACACCCCTGCCTCCCATCTGATTTTTAGAGGCACAATAACTACTTTTCATTATAGCCTCAGGAAATTTGGTAGGAAATAAATGCTTTCAGATACGCAGTTGTGCTGGCCTTTCTACTCCGTCGTTGCTGGTAGGGTGAAAAGGGAAATCAGTCTTCACCCAGGCTGTTAAATTTAACAGTAGCTCATGTTAAAGGGCAGCAGTTATCTTTCTGCTGGTGCTAGGCTGGGGTGCATAAATACCAGATTCTTCCCAAAAAACCTCTTGAGGGACAGCAACACAGGAGCAACTAGTCATGAGTTTGTTCGTTTGGCGTGGATGCAGCGATGCTGCTATTGTGGTCATGCTCTGGGGAGCCTTTAGAGAATGCTGTAGATCCCCATCCAGTCCAAATCCTGCTGGACATCTCTTGAAGATAAATGCTGAAAAGCCTCTGCCTTGCAATAATGGCATGTTAAAAGCAGAAAAGCTTTGAGTTGCTATTTCTCCTGGCTGCTTAGTTACAGTATTCAAATTCTTACGTCTGTGGAATAGATACTTTTCCTGCACCAGGCAGACACATGTTTTTCTGGACTCCAACCATGTCCTTCCTCTTTTTCTTTCCCTGAAATAATAATACTAATAGTACTAACAGTACTGATGCTCTCCCCCAGCAGCCATGCCCTGGCACGTTGAGTTTGGATGGGACCCAGTGGTTGTTAAATGATCACCGTAAAACCTAAATATTCTCTGTTGCCAATGAAGGGCGTAGCCGACAGCACTGGTAGCTTTGGTGCTCTGGGTTTTGGTAAAGAACATCCCATTTGGCTGGCTGGTGATTGGAAAAATCAACAGGTTTGCTTTGTGAGGACGTTGGTGATCGATACATTTAGCATTGGCTCATTAAGTTGTGGAGAATTTATAGTATTTAAAAAAAAAACCCCAAACAAACCCAAATAAAAACCTAGGACATGATCGTGCATTTACTTTTATGCTGCCTTTTTTTCTTTTGATTTGTTTGTGATGTTACTTAATCTCTAAATGTTTTTATCTGGTAGATACAAGTCTTTTAGCTGATATGAACAAAGATTTTTGTACTTACACAACAGCCTGGGAAGGTTGCTGGCTCTGCCTTGGTTAGCCTCAAAGTGTTTAACAGCACGGAAGACGGGTCTGTGTTGAATACTTGGTGATTTGCAGAGTTTCTTCTGAGATGTGTTGCATCATATTGGGAGGTTCAAATATTTTTACAGGCTGATGAGCTGTGAGAAACGGCCCCCGTTGTTGCGGTAACAGAAAAAAGTCATGGATTACGACATGTTGCAGGGAGGATTACAAACGTACCAAAGGATCTCCTAGCACTTTGTTTCTCTGGAAGTTTAAACAGCTTTTCAGTATGCACCAACCCAAAATGTGAGAATGAAAAAGACAATCCCTGTAGCAGTTTGAGATGAAAGTATTAAGCTGGTATAAACCTCCTCGTTTTGCTGTAGGAGGAGGTGCTTCCTAATGAAGAGCTGTCTGTGTTTTTACATATTTGACCTGGAAAAATCCACCTAACAGGCTTTCAACTCTTACCTGGTTTTACTACTAAAGGAAACCTTCACTTTAAAAAACAAAACAAAACAAAAAAACCCCAACAAAACAAACCTATTGTGCATTGTTCTTCTTGAGCTGGTGTTTCCCCTGTGGTGCACCACACACAGTATGTGCACTGCAGCACTTGTCTGTCCTTTTTTTTTTCCCTCCCCTACCTGCAAAACAGTGCAGTCAGGAAAATGGCTTCTGTGAGCTTCAAAGCAAGGATTAGATACTGTCACTGAGTCTGAGGCTATGCAATACTTTGCTTAAAAAAAATAAAAATCAAATCAAAATTGTATTAAAACGAATTGCCTCTGGCTCTCTTAGCCATTCTCAATAGAATAGCCTTTTAGTGTTTTTAAATAAATAAACTTTAAACACAGAGTCCTCTTCTAACAATATTTTCTGGCAGTATCATTCTGTTCCCTTGCAAAGTTTCCTCCTGTCCCTTCTATTTTGCACTAGTGTTCAGGGTGTTTCTAAAATCCAGCTATATTTGGCAATACATCACTCTCCGTGTTACAGAGAAGTGATTACTTAAGGGATTTGGCAGAAATTAAATTAACTGAGGTCTTTAGAGAACATACTCAGGATGTCTTTGGAGAAGGCGCTCGCTTCAAACGCTTTCTGGTGGAAAGAGAAGTCACGTTATCTCCCGTTTCTTTCTGCAACGTGGACTTTGCTGTACAGAACATTTGTCTGTTTACTCTTTTTTCACGTTTGTGGTGGAGCTTAGGGCTTTCAGAAGCAAAACAAATGCTGAAGTGATAGACAGACTAATTTTTCTAGGTTGCTTAGTAACTGAAGTGCGTGCTGCAGTGTGAAAATACTCATACAATAAAGTAAGAGAATATTGACTGGAACAAACTGAAGATGGTGTGAAAGCGCGCCGTAGAAACAATTACAGCATGTGTTTTTATTTGCTTGTGTGAGCAGAAGGATGCTCTCGATCACAGTGTTCTACATAAAAGAACTTTTTTAGTGGAAAGCTTTCTCACCCTTTTACTTGGTGCGGTAGGATGTGAAATCTCTGGCTCTCTAGCAAAAAAATGTGTACTGTTGTGGATTTTTGGATGCTTCTTGAGATGGATCATTGGTCTTCATAGAATCATAGAATGGTTTGGGTTGAAAGGGACCTTAAAGCTCATCCAGTTCCAACCCCCCTGCCAGCAGCAGGGCCACCTTCCACTAGACCAGGTTGCTCAAAGCCTCATCCAACCTGGCCGAGAACACTTCCAGGGAGGAGCATCCACAACTTCCTTGGGCAACCTGTTCCAGTGTCTGACCACCCTCACAGTGAAGAACTTCTTCCTAATATCTAATCTAAACCTCCCCTCTTTCAGGTTAAACGCATTTCCCCTTGTTTTGTCATTAACTGCCCTTATGAAAAGTCCTTCCCCAGCTTTCTTGTAGCCCCTTCAGGTACTGGGAGGTGCCGTAAGATCTTCCCTGAGCCTTCTCTTCTCCAGGCTGAACAGCCCCAACTCTCTCAGCCTGTCCTCACAGCAGAGCTGCTCCAGCCCTCGCATCATCCTGGTGGCCTTCTCTGGACTTGTTCTAGCTGCTCCAGGTCTCTCTTGTGTTGGGGGCTCCAGAACTGGACACAGTATTCCAGGTGGGGCCTTACAAGAGCGGAGTAGAGGGGCAGAATCACCTCCCTCAACCTGCTGGCCACACTTCTCTTGATGCAGCCCAGGATATGGTTGGCCTTCTGGGGCTTTTTTGAGTTTTGAGAGAAGAGTTGTTCTGTGGCCCTAATTTAAGGTTGGTTCTCCAAGTTCTTAAGAAGAAGAACATTAGATTCCTGAAGCGCTGGCACGGTAATAAAATTAGACTAGATTATCTGAGTTTATTAATTTTTAAAAGAAAATTGAAGCCTATTTGTAGTCTAATTAAGCTATTTTTCTTCTTTTTCCTTTAACTCATGTTTTTATTTTCATTTAAGATTTCAGCAAAGCAATGTCTCAAGCTGGCACTTCACAGTTTCAGGAAGTCATTCGACAAGAGCTGGAGTATTCAATGAAAGTAGAACTTGATAAGATACTTGCGACAGCAACTTCAAATGAGTTAGAGGTAAGGAGTGTGGTGTGGACACGACTCAAAGCATGAGAAATGAAATGCAGGGAATTGAGGCAAATATTATACAGGGGGACAAATCACAGGATACTGTAATCCTTATTTTTAGGATGTGTGCTGATCCTGTGTGGAAGAGTAGCCTGGATATGATGTCAGCAGGAGACTTTCAGTACCTAAACTGGGTGACAGAGTTATTGCTAAGTGTTTAATCATCGTTAGTTATTAAAGATTCTGTGTAATCTTTAATGGATTGTAGAAAGGGAGGGTAAAGCTGTTGTCCTTCAGAGTGGGCCAAATTCTCATGGCTATGGTTTTGATAAAAGACTTGGCTTTCAGGT